GTTTGTAGTCTGATGTATTCAAAGTCACTGCTATTTTTAAGCAATCATCGTTGACCTTGACTTTTCGCTTTGAATTATAATTACGCAGCTTCTGAAGTCAAGTTAGCGTCACAAGATGCAAATTTGCTGTGTAAATCTGGAGGGCACACAAGTAAGTGCTTATTCAGTTACCATTGGGATGGAAAGCATCTAACATGAGGGTGTTTCCTCCAATCATTATGAAGTCATATGGGTTGGTTCCAACCCCCCTTCCTTTCTCCCCTGTCCCCCAGGAACCATCGGTTCTGTTCTTTTCATCGCCGGATTATGTGCCCTGTCTATCTATCTAGATAAACATGCAGATACATTAGTAAGTGCAAAAAACGTGGCAAAGCCAAATAAAACAACAAAGGAAGTCAAGACCAATAAAAACAACAACAACAAAAAGCCACTGACAAAAAATTGAAAGGTCTGTTTGTTGGCCTTTACAAGTGTTATCCAGTCGAATCTGATGGGGTGCCACACTCTGTCTCCAAAGTCTATTTTTGGTGTTCCCCAAGGAGTTCATCCCTCTGCTCCCCTTGATGCTCTGTTGCATGCTCTTAGTGTTTCACAGCAGCGTGATGGGCTCAGACTGCAAACCCGACTGAAGGCCGAACATGCCGGTGGGGCAAGAGGAGAGTAAAAGGACATAGGGGAAAGAACCAGGAGGCAAAGGACATTTAGAGGTCTAAATACAGGCATGCACATTTGTAAATATACATATAATGAGAGGGGAGTGGAACTATGTACTCCATTTACATGTTAAGAATTAAGATTGCAGATGGACATTGGGCCTTGACCCAAGTACTTCCTCAACAAAAGAGCACTTTGTTCTAACAATCCGGCATTCTGTGATGTTCACCTTCCTGACACAATCACTGAAGGCAAAATGGATGCATGAGTAAATGTGGTGAAGAAAGCTGATGGTGCCCGGCTACCGAAAGATATAGCATCTGGGGTCTTAAAGGCTTGAAGATAAACAAACGGCCATCTACCTGAGAAACAACAAAGCCCACATAGAAGAAGCACACCAACCTGTGTGATCATGAGGTGTCGATGGGATTAGGTACCAGGCATCTAAGACCCAGAACAAAATCATACCCAAGGTGAATGGTGGGTGGGGTGGTGCATGGAGTGGAGACCCATTGTCCATCTGTAGACAATTGGACATCCCCCTAAAGAGGGGTCTCAGGGAAGAAATGAGTCAGTCAGGGTGCAGTATAGCATCAATGAAACACACAAATTTCCTCTAGTTCTTTGGTGCTTCCTTTCCCCCATTATTATGACCTCAATTCGACCTTACAAATCGGATTAGACCAGAACATGCACATGCTACAGATAAGAGCCAGAAACACACAGGAATCCAAGATAGATAAACTCCCCAGGGCCAACAAGGAGAGCAGAGATACCAAGAGGATTAGGGGAGGGTGGGGGGAGAAAGGAGGAATCTATCACAAGGATCAACCTACAACACCCTCTCAGGGGGATAAACAATGGGAAAGTTGGTGAGGGGTGATGGAGGACAATGTAAGATGAAAATAATAATCTATAACTTATCATGGATTTGTGAGGGAGGACAGGCAGGGGAGAAAAGGGGAAGACATGGGGAGCTGAGATCAGGGGCTCAAGTGGGAAGAGAATGCTTTGAAAATGATGATGGCAGCATATGTGCAAATGTGCTTGGATGTACAGTGGATGAATGTATGGATTGTGATGAGATGCAAGAGCCCCCAATAAAAGTATTTAATAAAATAATAATAATAATAAAAAGTCAAATGTGGCAGAACTTCCCCAAACTAGGTGCTGTCGACCCTATGTGTGAGAGCAAGCGTGCTGCACAGGGTTTTCTGGGGCCTCTCCTCCCAAGCACCTCTGGGTGGACTGGCTCCTCCATCTTTTCAGCTGGCAGGTGGGCACACGAAAACGAATGCCCATGAACAATTCATCTCTCTAGGCCTTGCAAAGAAGTTACAAAAGATAGCTCTTGGGGGAGGAAAAATACATTGAGGTATTTTCTCAAGACCAAAGACACCTAATTTGGGCCAGAATAGATGAGTAGACAAGGTGGAGTGAGGAATTCTGTGCCTACATGTATGTCCTGCCGGGTAGCCTCGCTGAGACCCTGCTGGTAGACACACCTCCCGCGTTTGCTAGGCCATTGGTAAACACCGTGAAAACAAACCTGCCATCTGCTACAACTAATAAAGCTGTGCCTGAAGAGCAGTATCCCCTGGGGTCTCTCCAAAGTATCCTGTAGTTCTAATGTTGAAGCATCATCACTTGATTGACAGTAGTCTTTGCTAACACAGCACTGCATAGCAACCACGTTTCTAGGCTGGCAGGGCACCCAGCTCAAAGATGGTGGCAGACGCACAGTCCCGGCAATCATCCAGTCCCAATCCAGGGCTCCAACCATTCGTTTTTCCTATTCTGGGTTTTCTGCCAGGACACACACATTTCAGAAATGCACCTATTCGGATTTCACCAAGCCTGGACCAAACCCTGGCTCTGAGGGCTCACCTTTTGTTTAGTAGACAGGCACGTACCCACTGCATCACCAGGGTTCTGCATAGGACAGGAAGGGAAACTGTGCAACAGTGGATGAGAGCTTATGTTCTGAGCACCAGGACTGTAGAAAGCTACAGGCTTTGGGTGGGAGCCCTGAATCCATTATTGAGTCTCTACATCGATCCAGTCTCCACTGAATACTTTATCACCACTGACGTAAACAGCATTGGATTGCCGACTGGACAGCTGCCCACAGGGGCAGTTCGGCTCTGTCCTATAGGGTCACTATGAACCAGCATCCACTTGATGACAGTGAGCTGAGTTTCTTTCCAAGAGCACAAGTAACAGCTTGAGACTAGGCATGATCCTCAAAGGAGGCCCTTTAAGGATCCAGGATTTATCTATCTGGTATCAATAAAATGCACATCTCCCCTGCGTCCAGGCATCAGACCTAGGAAGTTCACAGACATACCACTTCAAGGAAAAATGGCATGGCTGGTGATCCAAAGTACCATGCTGGGAGCATTTTTAACAAGAAGAGAGTGACCAAAATGGGATGATACGGCCAGAGGCGGTGTGGGAACAAGGCCTTGCAGGAAGGGAAGAAATCTGACAAAGAGCTCCAGGGGTGGGGGAGGGTCCAAGGGAGAAGAGGGCATTCCAGGACTTTCCCCAAATACTGATAAGCAGGTCACATCCCTTTGCCGCACAGGAAATCATTTCATACCAAAATCGTTTCCAAGTTTCAACTAATGATTGTAAACAATGCTGTCCCACTAAGATTATTCTAGCTAAACAGAAGATTTTAGACAAGTGACCAACTCATAGCATCGTTTCTAACATCAAAGCTCTAATTAGTTTTCTTAAGTTTACAACCACATAAAACTGAATTATTCACTAAATGGCTACCCAGTAAGTCATGTGGACATCTCAAGTAAAACAAGTATTTTAAAAATCAGAAACCCAAACGCCCATTTCACAGCCTCAGGGAACATGTTAGAGACACTGTGAGTGAGTTGAGAGCATTCCTTGTGCTGTCAAATGACCAATCATCAAATAATCTGCCTTGAATAAGTCAACATTCAGCAAGCGTCAAAGAAGTTGGGAGTCCAGGTATCTGCAGTGTAAGATTCTCCTCACAGCTAACACATAGCCTGCAAGGTAAGCACTGGTCTGTCTTTACCTTCTTCAGTAATGTTAACCGAACAAAGCTGACATAGATAGATCAGGGGTGAGGAGAGCATGCCTATGGACCATGAAATCAATACCAGCTAACGTCACATGTCTCACCAGCCATTACAATAGAAGTGAGTTAATTACATGCTAGATCAGATAGAGCAGGATGACTTTTAAGTGGATACTTTTGTATACCTGCGAAGAATGTTAAAATATGTATTTATCTAACTAGTCCGTGGCAAAACAAAGGATCTCCACCCCGACAAAGACGACGTGAAGCCAAAATATTTTATTGAAAGCAAGCTATAAGCCCTTTGCCTCCACATTTTCCATCCCTTTGTTTTCACAAACAATTAAATTTTATAGCAGCTCAAATGCTGGATGATGTAACCATGTCAAATGCACTAGTATAAAATACTTAGTCATAAATAAACAGGCTGTCTTCAGATTACACTTGCCTAAAATCATAACCTTTAAAAGCACCAAAATGAGTTTGGATTATAGCTTTCTAGCTCATGAAATGGCTCAAAAAGAAAATAAAATGGATGGTTAATGTTAACATTCACAGGATCTTGGATCTTTGTAAAAGTTGAGCCGAGGCTTTCAAAGCAGATGAAAGAGTTAAACTAAAGGGTTGAATTTGCCCAAATTGTAATTTTTCTCTTCAGATGTTCTACGTCTAGACGTTACTGTAGCAACGAAAAAGCCTTCCTCTAAAAGATTTCTCCTGAACATTAGCTTTCTTTTTAGCTTGTTTAAATCTCAAAGACGGCACTTTGAGGACTCAGGTACTCCTGACCCAAACCATGGTCTCTTCGTCTGCCTCCTATGCATGCTGAAATGGAATAAATAAGACTGAACGAAGAAAATGACGTCATTGAATTATGGTGTTGGCCAGCAACGCTGAATATACCAGAAACTTCGAGATTCTAGAAGATGAGTCAATCAGTTCTGGAAGATGTGTAGCTAGAAGATCCTCAAAGGCAAGGATGCGAGTCTGTCATGCGTACTTTAGGTGTATTACCAGCAGAGGCCAGGGCCTGGAGAAGAACATGGTGCTAGGTGAAGTAGAGAATCAGTGAAAAAGAGGAGACCCTGAGGGAGATGGATCTAGACAGTAGTTGGGATCATGGGTTCCAACACAGTAACCACTCGGGGTGGTGCCAGAGCAGGAAGCACTTCTTTCTGGAGCATACCGGGGCACCATGAGCTGAAACAGACTTCGGGGCACCTAACCCCAACATGACTTGAAAAACGAAGGCAACTGGTTTCAGAAAGCTCTGTCACCTGCTTACCTGGAGACTTCTTGGTTGATCTTGATGGTACCAGGTGGGACTGTCTCGGCAGCAGGGGTGATGATGGCAGAGACATAGAGACACCTTTGGCCAAGCTCACCCTGTAGGTGTCTTCTGCTACCGAGAGGCTGCTAACAGGGAAGTCGCCACCATGGCCAGGAGGAAGGACTGGAGAAGTCTCTGGATCAAAGTCCCCTCCTGCAGTGAAGAGATAAGACCTTAGTTAGACCATCCATTACAGGTAGATCCAAACTTAACTCCTAAGAACTGTTCTTCGACTACAAGGCTAGGAAATTTAAGAATGAGCATGGACTTGGATTCTCCCTCTCCGTGATGGTCCCAGGCGGCCAGCTGTCATCCCCACGCTATTTCCTCAACCGTGTAGCTGTCCGTCTACTGCCTGACTCACTAACGTGGGCTTAGAGGATTGTCTGCTGACCCCAGAGACACAGGAGGAAGGCACACATCTCCTATTCACACTGGGACAGATGTCACGTCCCAAATGGGTAGAGAAGAAGGGGAAAATGCATGTATTATATCATCGTCAGAAATAAAAAGCAGTGATCATTTCTAAGAAAGGGTTTATTTTCGTACATATCTAGGATTCTCCAGTGGGTGTAAAAACTGAAGGGTGAAGGGTAAAAAATGGAGTATTAACCCAAAAAACCCTTAAGTCCACTGAGTGGATGCTAACTCATGGCAACCCTACAGAGCAGGGTAGACCCGCCCTGTGAGTTTCCATGACTGTAATTCTTTACAGGAATAGAAATCCCCATCTTTTTCTTGAGGGGATCGATGGTTTTGAACTGCTGACCTTGGAGATCGAAGCCCAAAGCATCTGCTGTCATGTAGAGTGACTCCCTCCAACTCCCATGACATTTTAATCCTTCAAAGTAAAACTCAAGCATCACTTCTGAAGCCTCAATGAAGCCTGCCCCATATCTCTTTCCAGATCATGCCAACTGATCTGGTTTCAAGTCTAAGAATGGTCTGGACAGCCAGTGATCTAAGATCAGATCAAGGATTATTCACAAGAAACTGAGACTAATAAGGGAGAGAGGTTGCTGATCTTATGTAAGTATTTGCAGAATGGATTTGATCTGTTCCAGAATTCCCCGTCATCCCTTTCAAATAAGAATGTTCCAGGGTCTAGTCTATCTGAACATTCCTCCCCAGCACTCTACAGCCGGAGAACCAACCTGTTCACTCCACAGTCCTCACAGTGTAGCGTTCACTTGCTAAAACTCAACCTGCTCCAAACCAATCGCTGGACTAGAACCATGGCTCACTTATAGGGCAGGCTCTCCTTTACGTTGCCAATCCCTAACTGAACTTGAAGACAAACAAGATGACTATGAGGAATGCGAACCTTCTAGGACAAACAAAAGGACCCCTGGTGGTGTACTGCATGCCAGGGTGCCCCACCAGTCCCATGGAGATGAGCACTCACAAAGCCTGTACAGGGTCACTGCCAGTCGGAATCAACTCAATGGAAGTGAGAATTGTGGAAAACAGAGCCCCCAAAAAGCTGAAGATGGAATCATGGTAGAATACACAGGGAAGGAGTTATCAAGAGCCAGCTGTTTTGTTTTGGGGGGGCGGGGCAAACCCGTCACTATCTAAATAAAGGGGACTTCAAAAAGCTTAAGGAAAATACTAGCTTTTTACTTCCCTTTTTACCGTGAACTTTTGAAGTGCCCTTGTAGGCTCTTCACCTATCAAGTGCCCTTTCCCCCTCCGGGGGTAGGAAGAAGCAACTGAGGATGCACTGAGAGAAGATATATCATTTCAGATTTAAAGGCCTTTTCAAGCTTTAAATTATGCACAACAGAATTAGAAAGATAAAGTTTTCCACAAGCAAATCAATCTCTGACAAAAGCAACTCTACCGGTTTTTCCTACGTCTCCTGGCTCCAAAGCATCCAGGGTGAGATTGGAAAAAAAAAAAGGCAGGCACCTGGCCGGACGGAAGGAGCCCTGGTGGTGCAGTGGTTACGAGCTGGGCTGCGATCCGCAGGGTCAGCAGTTTGAAACCACCAGCAGCTACGACGGAGAAAGACTGGGCTTTCTGACTCCCATCCACAGTTACAGTCTCGGAAGCCCACAGGGGGATCGCTATGAGTCAGCACTGACTCCATGGCAGTAAGTTTGGCTTTTTGAGCCAGATGGGAAGTCAGTGTTTACAGATTTTTGTGTCTCTTTAGGCTCAGAAGAGAAGCAGCCCAAAACATCAAGAGCCTTGTGTGTCTCTTCCCTGGCTGGGGGTAGTCATGTCCAGTCACTCCCTCCATATAAGGGCTTCTGCACAAAATGACAACAAAGGAGGGTGGGGGGATGTTCTGCAGACTGAGACGATAACAGAGAAAAACAAAGCAGAGAGGCATGGAACAAGCAAGGATGGGCCATCACAGGGGATGAGTTGTTTGGATAGCAAAAGGCAGGCCATGGACCACAGAACAAGCCCAAGTCTGAAACAAGCTCATGCCTTATTTTCAAGGCCAACTCAAAACCAACAAAGCTGTGGAGAGGAAAGCCATGAGAGCTGGCCTTTCAGAAGGACAGCTCAGTCCCCCCCACCCCCCCATGGGTTAGCCAAGCCGGGCAGGGTTTAGTACACTTGGGAAGCTGAAGTTGATCACCGAATGCCCAAAGCAGTGCCTTTGAGGGCAGAAAGGGGGAGGGGAAGAGAAAGGAAGAGGGAGGGAGGGAGGGAAAGAGAGAGAGAAAGCAAGAGAGCGAGAACACTATGCTTGGTAGGGTTGGTAGAGTTTTCAATGGCTGGAAGCTCACTAGGAATTTTCAAAAGCAAGGACATTCGGGAAAAGGTCCAAGACAAATACATCCTCCCCACTTCCTCAATTTCTTCATGTTTATTCATGTTTTCTATTTTTTCCCCAACAGTTTTATTGGCACATCATTTACGCATCATACAATTTAACAGTTCCATCGTTAAATCATATCAAGAAGAATTGTACAATCACCACGTCCATTTTAGAACACTCTCGTGTATCATTTGCCTTTACAATTAGTTGTGCAATCACAGTCCGTTCTAGTGCTCCCTCCCCCCTCCCGCCTTCACTGTTTACTCTGGAAATCCTCTTTCCTTCCCTACCACCCACCCACCCACCCACCCACCCCTGACCCCTCTATCAACCCTTGTGTCAGTTATTATCATTACACATCCACTCCTCTGTGCGTCACAAACGGAGAAACCCTACAGAAACGGTAAAAAACAAAATTGAAATAAGGTGGTAAGGATAAAACAATAATAATATAAAGACAAAAATACAAATGAGTACGAAATAAAAGACCCTCATCAACATTCAAAAAGCCAGGGAAGAAATGTATCATGGAACCAGTAAGAGATACTTGTCCCCAGAACAAAATGGATGGGTCTATAGCACTGGTTCTCAACCTTCCTCATGCTGTGACCCTTCAATACAGCTTTTCATGTTGTGGTGACCCACAACTGTAAAATTATTTTCGTTGCTATCTCATAACTGTAATTTTGCTACTGTTATGAGTCATCATGTAAATATTTGATAGGCAGGATGTATTTTCATTGTTACAAATTGAACATCATTAAAGCATAGTGATTAATCACAAAAACAATATATAATTATGTACTGTGAGATATTTATTTCTAATGACAAATCAATGAAATTTTGTCTTGAAGCATGGTGTAGCATGGGTAAATGTTCACACCGGGTATGCATATGTGGGCCTATCTGCGTGTGGGCGGATCCACCTGGAGATGATGCACCCTGTCCAACCAGCATATTCAAGCTCACAATGGTCTCTGCCTGACAGGAAGGCACACGCTTCTGTTCTTGAGAAGGAAGCAGCAGAAGACAGTGAAGAGTGTGGCCTCTTAAGAGTCCCTCTGAATGGCAATGGGCCCACCCAGCACTTTCTACCCAGCGGTTAGTTATCAAGTAGCAAAGAAAATAATTTTATGGTTGGGGGGGGTCACCACAACATGAGGAACTGTATTAAGGGTTACAGCATTAGGAAGGCTGAGAACCACTGCTCTACAGCAAGATGCTGCTTCCAAGTCTACATTTAACATACCGCCTAACTCCTAGGGCCCTACGGACTAGCGTCATGCAACCATGGAGGTCCCTGGAATCTTCCATAATCTAACTCCCTGACCTCTAGCTTGCTCACTGCCATTGGGCCAATTCTGACCCACAGCAACTATGCATGGCAGCCGAACTGCCCCAATGGGTTTCTGAGAGAGGAGAAAGACTCACCTTTCTCCCACAGAGAAGCAGGAGGTTTAGAAGTACTGACCTCATGGCAAGCAGCCAAACTCATCACCCAGGACAGGACCAGGGCGCCTTTGAGCCCTGTAGCAGGACTCAGAGCCTTCCGGCTGCCTCCCCATTGACTCTCGTAATGACAGGATCTTAAAGAAGAGCTGGGGTGAACAGTAATGGCCCCTCTGACCGTGCCGAGCACTAACCACTCTGAGACAACCTGTGCAAGCCGAAGGAACACTGGTTTCTCTGGTCTGACACCTGGTTCCCAGGGCCAGTCCCACCACAGGACGAGTCACAGGAATAGCAAGCAGGTGCCGTGACTCCAAGAATGGTGTCAGATCACTGCATCTGTGGGTGTTCAGACAAGAAACCCTAGGAGGTAGTCTGCAGGTGGAGAGAGCTGAGGCCGCAGCCCCAGGGAGTTATTCTCAGGAGGCTGCTTGCACAGTGGGTACTGCTGGTGCATTTCTCAACACCTAAGGGGCTCAAGGGGGGCCGCGGACCTGGGAGATGTACCCACGAGCATGGCCAAGGTAAGGTGCTGCTTCAGGCAGATGGGCTTTCCCCCTCGTGTGTGCGGATGAGGATTTGTGACGTGAGCTTCCCCAATACGGTGCCACCTTCGTGAATTGTCTGTGTGTCCTATCCAGGGGGGTGCAGGATGGCAGAGGAAAGCCAAGTGCTGGGAGGGACAGTTGGTGTCACACTGCGATCAAGAGGGGAGAGGTGGAGGGAAGGCTAACCTCTGCCTTGACGCGGCCGGGGGTGGGGTGGTGGGGTGGGTATAGAGTTGTATCCTCCTCCCTCCTTTGTATCCAGGGGCCGGCAGTGGCTCCCACACCATTTCCTCAACCCTGGAACAGTCCTTTAGGCAGCCGGGTGGCACAGTGGTTAAGAGTTGGGCTGTGAACTACAAGGTTGGAAGTCTGAAACCACC